ATCATCTGCTGATTTGTGAAAGTATAACAGAGGCTGAGGTTCTGTGTTTTCCATTTAAGTGAGACTTCTCTGCTTGACCAGTTTTGATCAGGTTTTACCAGTGGAGGACCAAAGAGTGCTCTGTTTCCTGTGGTCAAAGTAATTTTCCCACAGTGCTTACCTTTCCTCCGTGATCTTGCGATGCTTCCTGTCAGTATTCCCAAACCTCCTGTCACTTAGACAGAACACTGGCGAAACTACCGAATTTCATCCTAACAGAATGAGAACAGTTTGTTCGTTCATGTTAGGACACAATTCAGGATTTTGTTCTGATCGGAATTTTATTCTAATGAATAAAATTCTGATCCGATTCGTGCCGCGGCTGCATCTTGCAGCCGCTTGGTAGATAACTCCATAATTCCAATCAGAGTGCTCTTAGGAATTTTCCCATGCTGTGTAATTTGACTAATAGCAACACTCTGATTGTTGCTTTCAATCAACCAATCACAGTGTTATGTGTCAAATTACACAGCATGGGAGAATTTCAAAGAACTTTCCCACGCTGTGTAAAATGACACAAAGCACTCTGATTGGTTGGATTTCAAGCTAACCAATCAGAGTTCTGTGACAGGCAAATGTAGAGACTTACCTATCAAGCTCTTCATTTACCTGTCAGAGCACTCTGATTGGTTGGCTTAAACCAACCAATCAGTGTGCGCTGAGCCTAATTGCAGGACGTGGGAAGGCTTTACAAGCCTTTCCCCACCCTGCGGAGCTCAGTCTGCGCCGTGCCCTCACTGGGTGAAGATGGATAACTTTTTTAGCGTCTAATTCTGTTTTTTCTTTTCAAAGTTCGACGGGTATCATAGATTTTTATTTGGCCTTTTTTGGGTCTGAGAAAAGAAGATTTTAGAAAAAAGAAGATATCAAAATTAAGTTATTTTTTATTTACAGATATTTAGTTTATTGTTTCCCCCTCACTATTTTTAGTGTGAGGTGGGTAAGTAGGTCTTTATTAAAAAATGTTGGGTGGGGGAGATGACTAGGGGCTTGGGGACCCCTTGCCACCTGGGGGGCACTTTGTCCCCACCTGTCGCCCATGGGTGGGGGCCAGGGGGAGGACAATAGGTCCCCCACCTTTATTGTTATTTATGGCACCCACCCGCTGCTCAGGGGTGGGGGTCGGGGATGACACTAGGTCCACCCCCCCATTTTCATTTAGGGCCCCCACCCACCGCTCATGGGTGGGGCTGGGGGGAGGACATTAGGCCCCCCTTATTGTTATTTAGGGCCCCCACTCGCTGCTCAGGGATGGGGGCCAGGGGCGAGGACAAAAGGTCCCCCCTTATAGTTATTTATGGCCCCCACCCGCCGCTCAGGGGTGGGGGCTGGTGGGAGGACAATAGGTCCCCCGCCTTATTGTTATTTAGGGCCCCCACCCGCCGCTCAGGTCCACCCCCCATTTTCATTTAGAGTCCCAACCCGCTGCAGCGGGTGGTGGCAGGTGGGAAGACAATTCGTCCCGCCCCGTATTGTAATTTAGGGCCCCCACCCGCCGTTTAGGGGTGGGGCCAGAAGGAAGGACAATAGGTCCCCCCTCTTATTGTTATTTAGGGCCCCACCCGCTGCACAGGGGTGGGGTCAGGGGGGAGGACACTAGGTCCACTTCCCCATTCTCATTTAGGGTCCTCACCCACTGCTCATGGGTGGGGACCGGGGGGAGAGGAAAATAGGTTCCCCCCTTATTGTAATTTAGTGCTTCCACCTGCTGCTCACAGGTGGGGGCAGGGGGGGCGGACAATAGGTCCCCCCTTATTGTTATTTAGAACCCCCACCCGCCACTCAGGGGTGGGGGCCAGGGGGAGGACAATAGGTCCCCCACCCTTATTGTCCCCACCCCATTTTCATATAGGGCCCCCACCCGCCGCTCATGGGGGATGGGTAGGGGCCAAGAGGGACCCTATGTCCCCCGTTTACTTTTATAGCCCCCACTCGCGGGGCAAGGGTTGGGGCTCAGGGGACACCCATCTTCTGTTGAGCTTCAGCTGGTAGACAGATGGCCTTAAGTTCTCCTGCAAAATGTCTTGATAAACTTGGGAATTCATTTTTCCTTCGATGATAGCAATCCGTCCAGACCCTGATGCAGCAAAGCAGCCCCAAACCATGATGCCCCCACCACCATACTTCACAGTTGGGATGAGGTTTTGATGTTGGTGTGCTGTGCCTTTTTTTCACCACACATAGTGTTGTGTGTTTCTTCCGAACAACTCAACTTTGGTTTCATCTGTCCACAGAATATTTTTCCAGTACTGCTGTGGAACATCCAGGTGCTCTTGTGCAAACTGTAAGCATGCAGCAATGTTTTGTTTGGACAGCAGTGGCTTCCTCTGTGGTATCCTCCCATTAAATCCATTCTTGTGCATGTCATTAGTCTAGGGGTTCACATACTTTTTCCACCTGCACTGTGAATGTTTACATGGTGTGTTCAATAAAAACATGGCAACATTTCATTCTTTGTCTGTTGTTGTGACTTAGATGATAATCAGATCACATTTTATGACCAGAAGCATTTTATGCAGAAATCCATATCATTCCAAAGGGTTCACATACTTTTTCTTGCAACTGTATATTGAAATGTTGGGAAGAAGATAACATTACTACTTTATGATAATTTTAAAACAAAATGGCTTTTTTGGCTCTCAGGGTATATGGGAATAAGTTGTGAAGTCAAGTTGTTATTGATTTTTGGTGGGAAAAAAAATATGCAAGGAGGATTTATGGAAAACAAGGACGAGTGGGGGAGATAAAGCATTGCAATGAATGCGACAAGCCACACATTGGAATAGTTGCAAGTCCTATAATCTTAGCCTGTCATATTTCGTTCCATGTCTGCTGCATAGTAACTTGAAATATCTTAAAGGGACATTATAGTCACTGATTTATGTCCTTAGATTTTCCTAAACCATTTAAACTTTATGCAACTCCTGACATCTCAAAACCTTTCCACACGCAGAATTGGTTGACTCTTGTTGTCCCATAACACTACTTAATCAAGACATGAAACTTCTTTCTAAATGCATAACATGCAGAATATAAACTATTCAACCACATGTATTACATCCCTAACAATTGGGATGTACCAGGGGAAGATGATCTATCAAATGTGTTCCATATCAGCAGCAATAATAATAATTATCCGGCAGGTGGAATAGGTTCCCCTGAACCATGTGGTCTTTGCTTCTCAGTTTGAATCCTCATAAGACCTTTGATCAAATTTCCTGGTTCCATATGTAGCGAATCTGAAATGCAGATATATATATATTTATTTTTTTAACTCCATTCTTTAAATGTATAATTTATTAATCTATAGATCTAACCCATATAGTTCACCCACAGATAAAATAACAATTAATGGAACTGAATCTTCTCCAGTCCTTATGAACAAGGTACCCATTAAGGACAATGTTTATAATCTCCCATACTTTTTAATCTTTCTCTAGACTCTTTAATTAGTATACTACATAAACCTGATACCTCCTTAATGTTTAAGCTGTCTAAGCATAACAACATTTGCAGATGACATGCTGCTCTGTATATCTGACCTCAAAAGGTGTCTCAAAATCTTGTGCATAAGGTTACTCTTTTTAGCCCTATCATAACTTACCATGTTAATTAGTCGAAAAACCAAAGCATTTAGGTCTCGTCCCACAACCAATGCTGGGAGAAGAAGACTCAGACACTGTTGTAGGCACCAAGATTTAATCTAGGTTTTAACATTCTCCGTATATTCAAATATAACTGCAATTAGATATCGACACTTACCTCCCTTCACTTCAAATAGCCCGTTTTGCTAATTTACATATTTGAAAATGCATCTTTTTACTTCACCTATAAGATACTGACTAAACTCACTCACTAGACTCCTTTATTCGGAACCCCTCTCAACCCTACAAATATATGTTTTTATTCAAACAGTCTTAGATCATGATATGCCTATCAGCCTTATTGATAAATAGAATCAGTTCCCTCCCTTTCCACTGATGACATTCTCACGGCTACAAAAATTTCTTTAAAGGGGCTTCTCCAACCCTTTTTTTTTTTTCCCCATCTGTGAGTAATGCCCTACTGACATCACTCATCAGGTCCCCCTCCCAAAAGAATGCTTGGAAAGCGTTCTAAATGTAGGTTTTACTTTACCTTTTTCAGGGCCGAGTGAAGCCCCCAGCTCTGCCTGGCATGCCCTGTCTGTCACAAGAGCCGTACTGAGGGCCAATCAAAAGATTCTCATAGCAAAGCATTTAAATGGTCCATTTAATTGGCTCAGAGCTCAGTCACATGCTATCAGCAGGCAAAGGCAGTGGGGAGAGGGAGGGAAATGAGGGGAAAGTAGGGGAGAAAAGCAAACATTAGGAGTAATTACAGTTGGGAGGGTTACAATGTAAAAGGGAGGTAGGTAAAATCTTCTTCTTGTGCAACGGGAAGATTTCTACAACTTAAACACATCTGCCAAAAAAAAACATCCTTCAAATATGGATCTCACCTGATACACCTTCTCTAGCACGATTTTAATCTAGACTAGCTTATGTAATAAAGTTAGCTTGGTTTGAGATCTCCCAATACAAGGCGCACAAGGTTTCCAAATATTTTACTTACTAGAAACTCTACAACTATGGTCTTGATTTTTAGCTCAATACCTTTTTCTGCAGTACATTTCAATTTACCAAGTGGTATTCCTTACAAATTCTTCATGGAAGACATCCACTTTAATTTGAGTACTCTGTTTTTCTTCCAGTTTTATTTTGAACATCTTATTTAGAAACCGACTATGACTTGTATAGTATAAATGTTGTTTTAGTTTTTTTTATGCTTCATTTAATAGGGGGTTTGTAAATGTAACCCCAAACACCCATCATATACTTCTATATCTTTAAAAACAAAATATTGTTTTTGAAAAAGAACTATAAAGCACTTTTTTTGTTTATAGAGGTGTCCCACTGCCTTTGCAAAAATAAAGCAATAGCCCAATATATATTATAAACAACAAATTGTGTGTGTTTTGTATGTTCAGATCAGAAAAGCAAGTTGTGAATGTGTTCGGGTCAACTTTTCATACAACAGTAAACAGGATATTTGTTTGTTTTTATTCATTAAAGCCATTACAATATTATACATTCAGGTGAGTCCGGAGACTTACATGCCAACATTTAAGAGGTGAAAAATCCCCAGGACAGGAAAGTGCAACTTCTAGAGGGGATCATACAGTATTAGGGACTGGTCAAACTACAGCATTAAATTATCCAATACAAGTAAATTGGAAGTCTAAAAGCAATTTGTAGAAGCGTTTAGTAATGAGATCCGGAACCTCATTACAGTTTAAATGACATTGTTATGGTGGTAAGCAAAAATACAGACATGTTTAGAACCAGCCAGCCTTCTATATTAGTTATTAATATCCCATTTTGGTATCACATATGCTTAAACAGAAAAGTAAAACCTTCTACAATGAATAGTGGTATCTAAAAAGTGAAACATACAGGTCAACTTATTTGGGTTATTGGGTTTTATTGTTGTCCACTTCTGGTAACTGAAATACACATCAATAGGTTTGAAATAATCACTTGATGGTTCATAAAATCTCTCTATTTACTGACATACTCATAAGTTTAATGACACACCACAGGTTTTTATATCTGGTGTAAACTGTGACGGATTAGGTCAGTTTTTATTCTATGGAAAATCTTCAAGGTCAAAACAGTAGGAAAAACAGCTTTTTTTTTTTCTTCTATCTGGTGATTCCAGTGACATCAGCAGAAAATTGCTTAGATTTTACTCGACTTGAACTAAAAAATTGTTTTAAAAAAACAAAGGGATATATTGATCTGGCTAAGTGAACCAACACAATAATCATTTAAATAATCAATACATAAATCTGAAATGAGTAAATATTCCTCACATCTGTTTAATAATACAAAGCGCATGTAAAGAGTTGTACATCTCATAATTTACACTGGCAAAATGCTTTGTCCACAGCATAAGGTGCAGATTATTCCAGACCAATGTTTGAAAGTGGAACTGGTCTCTTAATGTAAAACAGACATTATGATTTAAAATATACACAATTCTTTAATGTAAGTTCTGGTAAATGTTTTTAACAATTATTCAAACTAGTCATTGCTTCAGATATAGGAAATATCTAAAGGAACGCTCCAAGCACCATAACCACTACAATCCGTTGTAGCGGTTGTGGTGTCACGAGAGCCCTGGCGCTGTCCAGTGGTATGAAGTCTAACCATTTTAGTACAGTTTAACAACTTATCTGGGTCCCGCCAGGGCCCACGGCCGCAGCCCTCTACTTCCAGTCTTCTCCTCCAGAAGTATCCAGTTCGTTTTACAGAGGTAAGCATGGTCACAGGTATTGGCGCAGAGCATCAGTTGAGCTGTTTAAGCCAGTGAAAGTGGCCCTGCATGGCCTTGCTTAGTTATGTCATGCTAACTGGATTCTCCTGCAGAAGACTGGAAGCAGGGACTGCGGCTGTGGGCATGTTACGAGACCCAGATAAGTTGTCGAGCCATACTAAAACAGTTTGACTGCTTATCAGATATGCTCTACAGCAGTGTTCTGCAACCATTAGCACCGGGAGACTGGCAAAATTAGGATAAATATTTCTCAGACCTGCATCAGCCAGAAATAAAACCAAATGGTATGTGTGAGGGATGCAGTGTGTGTGTGTGTGTGTATAAGGGAAAATGATTGTGGGTCTGTGTGGTTGGAGGATAGATTAATAAATATATTTTTTTATAATTAAAAGAAAAATAGTAATCTTGATATCCCCCTTCCCTTCACCTCTGATCTCCCCTCCGGTCCTGCAGATTCAGTAAGGGAGAGGGAGGCACATTTACCGGTGCTATCATAAGATCATAGCACTGGGGAAATATCTTGCTGCAATTTATTGACTGTCCACAAAAGCTTTCATCCCACAGTATAGTTTGGGTGAAAGCTTCCGCGGTCCAGCATCGGTCCGTGGCCCTACAGCACCGTGTGCTCTACAGCACCACTGACATAATAACTATAGCAGCCTGAGGTGATTATGGTGCTCAGAATGTTCCTAGACATGAACTGGTCATTCCATAAACCATATATAGATAGGAACAAAAGAAATATCCTTCTAAAATTTACATTTCAGGAAAGAAAAGTGAATTTGCTGTACTTCAACCAATACAGGTCCCACATCAAGTACTAAAATAACATCTAGTTTTATTTACAAGCACTTTTTTTTTTTTTTTGTAAAGTTCAAAAATGTACAGCATGGATCAACTCTAATGAAGCCCCCCATCAGATTTGTGATCTGTCTTGCTTTTGTCATTCTTCACAGAGCAGATGAAATACGTTAAGGTGTCCTTTTCATTCACCGGGAGTGACCTGAAATGGCAGCCAATTATCTGAAAGACGAAATTAAGAAATGTCAATGAAATATGCAAGTTACATTTTAAATCCCAATGGGAGCACATATTTCATACCAAGGACATTAACTACATTAAAAAAAAACAACAGTTAGTTGGGGGGGGAAATGATAAATAAAACATATAACTAAAAAATAAATTAAAGCCATTTAAATTACCATTTTTGAGGTGAAGGACTAAAATACATAAACCATAATGTAAACAAATATAAGGGGGGGATTTTTTTTTCTTATTTGGTATTTAAAGGACCACTCGACACCCATAAAGCACATACATAGTTACATAGCTGAAAAGAGACTTGCGTCCATCAAGTTCAGCCTTCCTCACGTATGTTTTTGCTGTTGATCCAAAAGAAGGCAAAAAACCCAGTCTGAAGCACTTCCAATTTTGCAACAAACTAGGAAATAATTCCTTCTTGACCCCAAAATAGCAGTCAGATGTCTCCTTGGATCAAGCAGCTATTACCCCACTAATTAGAAAGTATATCCCTGTATGTTATGTTTTTACAAGTATTTATAGAATTGCAGTAATGACTAAGGAGTATCCCATAATAAGCACAGTTTATAAAAGTGCTGACTTCTATTAGAAATCGGCATCTTTATAAATAATTAATGAAACTGCCAGGGGTTTTTCTTCTTACTTCCGTTAGCTCCTATTTGAGAACACCTGCCTTTCCCATGCATACCTGAGACCAGCATCCAGAACTTTGATATATATCCTCAGGTCTATTTATGAATCCAATGGGCCAGCCCTTATGTCACGATACAGCACTGTATTGTAATCCTAATCTGTGTCCCTATTATGTGACCATACCTTGCTCCTGTTTGCCTTTTTATTATACATGTGCAATTCGTTTTGTTCCAAATGTAAATTCGGATGAATTTCAGCAATTTGGAAATTCTAATGCTTCCGTGGACATTCGAAAGTGCCGAATTTCGGAAGTGCTGACCGAACTGCCGAAGTGTCAAATTTCGGAAGTACAGAACCTAACTGAATTGCTGAAGTGCCAAAGTGCTTTGGATTTCTGAAAAGTTGCAAAACAAGAGAGGGAGGGAAAATGAATAATAATGACAGGAATCTAACCCTAATACTGACCCCTAACCCTAGATGTGTAAGTGTTTGTGGTGGTTAGGGAATTGCCGAAGTCCCAAACCGAACTGCCGAAGTCCCGATTTGCCAAAGTCCCAAATGTTTTGCCCATGCACATCCCTACTTTTTATCATCACGTTATACTGATGCCCTGGCACTGCATCTGTATGTCTTTCATATGTAATGAAACAAACCTAATGGGGATCATGCACCAACAGGCATTGTTGAGCAAAGTTCTGAAAAGGAAATAATCACCATGGAAACAAAACAAATGTTTCTGCTGATTGTTAAACTTTCCTTTTTTGTCACACAAACAGTTCTTTATACAGAAACCCAATGGACAGATTCATATTCAACCCATAGCAGGAATTACAGACACAAATGTTTCAACATTGTTTGTTGAACATGCAAAATAGTCAAAACAATTATACACTACTGAGCACGCAAACCCCCTTTAAATGTCCCCTTTCGCCCAATAAATGTTTCTTAAGGCCAGTCACTCTTCTACATTTGTAAGTTACTGGTTTCTCATGCGAGATATTTAGGCAGGTAATAAGCAATATATTTAAAAACATAGAATGTGAAGGCAGATAAGAACCATTCGGCACATCTAGTCTGCCCAATTTTCTAAATACTTTCATTAGTCCCTGGCCTTATCTTATAGTTAGGGTAGCCTTATGCCTATCCCACGCATGCTTAAACTCCTTTATTGTGTTAACCTCTACCACTTCAGCTGGAAGGCTATTCCATGCATCCACTACCCTCTCAGTAAAGTAATACTTCCTGATATTTTTAAACCTTTTACACTATTTGTACTGCATATTTATTACTTGTGGTTTCCCTCAAACTAAATCAAACTTTATATAATCTCACCTTTAGCAAAGGAAATAACTGTGCACAGCCTGTGGGATGATAAATAAGAGGTACACACTCCTGTAGCTAATTTTTTAATTTAAAGGGACATACACACAAGATCCAGCGCACTCACTTATCCACTAAACAGCAACTTCAAAGCTCACAAATTGTATTAGTTTTTTTAGAAACATCTAATCTAGGCAAAAATAATGGGGGTTTAGTTACAGTATATGATGATACATTGCAAAAGCCTGCCACAACGTCAATGTGCCCCATCTTTGGCAGGTCCTACTCTCACAGCCTAATGCCTGCTCTTATGAACCAAATATTGGGTACATTGACATTGTGGCAGGCTTATGCAATGTATGATAGATATGCTGTAACCAAACCCCCAGGTTCATCAGGTCTGGCTACTAAAGTAAAAGCATAGACTTTATTTTAAAATGCATCCAGTTTGGTTCATGACCCTACAATACACTGTTTATTATGATGTAGTCACAAGGCCAACTTTCTGTTGCATTAAGAATTTTATTTTTGTTAAAATTTAATTTTGTTCAAAGCCATACTGCTTTCCACTTACTTCAACAAGCTGTGCTTTATTCAGTCCAGGTCTTGCTTGCAGTTTGAAATGCCTCTTATACCTTCTTAGGGTGTTTACTTGCAGCTGGAATAGGTCCACCTGAAAAATTGAATCATGTTATATTCCTCCATGAAAGTCATTCTGTATAATAAAGGCAACAGTAAAGATTGTTTTTATTGCTTTTATGATGTTGACATTCAGAACAAAGTGCTTACTTCGGCAACGTAAATGAACAGCTTGCAATGGTGCTGGCATTATGAAACAGGATTGTTTGAAGTGTTTAGATTTAATTCCAGATATTTATTATTTTAAAAAACGGATTCACAAAATATACCAAAAGTTTCAAAGCCAGAAATCAGGAACTTGGCATAATTTTCATACAAATACACATATGCGTGCGCACACAATCTACAACTCACAAAAAGACAGGTATACATATATAACTAGACAGTCACTCATTTATTCATACATACATAAACATCAATTCATACACTCACAAGCTCACATGCATATGCAAACTTTTGTACATGGATAAACTGGTTTGCCAGTTTAAAAAGGAACTGTAATTACTCTGGAATTTACACCATTGAACATACATTGAAAATCAGCTATAACTTATTTTCCAAGAGATACACTGTTCCTTTTTAAATAAATTTAAGAGATTTAGCAAATGACATAATATAATATAGACAGGGCAAAGCCAGGCAAACACTACAAATGAAGTGGTGAATTAGAAATGTTATTAAATATTTTCCTCATTTCTGTATGCTTTCTCTATATTGACTGCGAGCTGCAAAGAACAGAGCTTATAACTATAAATGAAGGGGGAAAAAAGATGGAGGTGCCGAGTTGCAGGACAGATTTGTGTATTTCTACATTTAATGTTATTTCTCTTTGTTGTTTTTTTGTAATACATGTCTTATATAAATATAGTGATACTTAAACATAGTATTACAAATTCTGGGAAGTGATAGTTCCTCTTTAATTATTCATCTACCCATTCATTCACTGATGAGCACTGCAGCCACGCAGAGTTATGCCATGTGAGAGTGCAAGGATAGACGGAAAAGCTTTTTTCTTCTACAGCCCACTCCACCATAACCACAAGCAATGCCCAAGTTGCTGAAGGGGTTAAAACTTTAGTGACTTACCGGAGTACAGCGCCGATGTCCCTCTGCGCTGGGTCAAGCTCCGCCTACCCTCCTTCACCGCTGACGTGCACGCGCATTAGACCTCTCCATAGGAAAGCATTATTCAATTATTCAGTACTTTCCTATGGGGATTTCGGCGACGCTGGGGGTCCTTACATAGTGTGAGGATGTCTAGCGTCGCTTAACCCCTTAAGGACACAACTTCTGGAATAAAAGGGAATCATGACGGAATATTTCCGTCATGTTTCCTTAAGGGGTTAAAACACTCTGTGTTCTAAGGACTTATCCCTGCAAGGTAATTATTGCAGTTTACAAAAACTGCAATAATTACACTTGCAGGGTTAAGGGTAGTGGGAGTTGGAGTGTCCCTTTAATTGAGAAGGAGATGCATTCTAAATTAATCAGAATGTTTATACATTAGATCTCTCTTTTCAGGAAGTGTTTAGGAAGGCTGTGTAAGTCACATGCAGTGAGATGTGACAATCCTGCCTACTTAAACTTCTGAAAGCAAGGGCATGATCCATACACCAAAACCACTCCCTAAGCTAAAGTTGTTTTGGTGCCTACAGTGTCCCTTTAAGCAAGGTTTCATTTCAGTTGTCAAGTTTTAATTTTAGTTGCCAAAATAATGTATCCACAATCCATCAGTCAAACATTATGGACAAAGGAGAAGAAAATTGAAGTGCCCATGTATTGAGATAATAAGGATAGTAAGGAAGAAAAGATAATAAATATAAATAAAGGTAAGTGGCAAGGAGTGGAGGAGTTAACATAAAGGGAGCACAAGGTTAGGAAGGTGGAAAGATACATAAATTACAGTACTACTTTAATAATATTATTAATAATAATAAATAAAAATACAAGAATATGCTGTGCATTGATCTTGACTAACAACAAATTAGATTTATTTTTAAGGAAAGCAAATAATACCTCAGGTATATCAGTGTCGTGTATTGGGGAATCACCACCGTCATCATCACTGCCTTTCCTTTTCCTTTTGTTTCTTAAACTCTGAATTGTGTTCTTATGGAATTCACAAATATACAGATGCCTTGCCTAAACATAATGAAAAGAAAAGTAAAAATTGAAAACATTATACATTTATAAATACACATATTGTTTTAGAAAATGTCCTTTTAATGAATGCAATTAAAGGAAATACTACACACAAAAAAAAACCTATTACAGAAAAATATACATACATATAGATACAAAACAAAAACACTCTGTAAATACAATAGCTGCACCCTCAGTCATACCTCTAGATTAGATTAATGTGAAAATGAGAAGAGTCTGTGTTGGATATAACAATTTAACACACATGTGGGGAAGTCTTGACACCCCATACATCCCCACACCAGGGACTCTGTTAGAAACAAATGTATATCCACTCATGTTCTGAGGAAAATTAGATAATAGCAAGCTCAACCTTGCTATGGTTTGGTGGATCTAAGTGGTAAAAAGACTAAGTATCCTGAGTTAGCAGATTAAAGCATTTAGCCCAATAAACTTGTTTTGGGTTAGGGTGCACCTGACCTAATATAGACAGAGATCTCGGCCTTGGACTTGTCAACCATGCTAAAGGGAGACTGTTAAAGATATCCATCTTAAAAAAGATATTTCAGTGACATTGTTTTGTGAAGAGGAAAGCAAAACAGTGTAGTACATAGCAACCACGTACAGCAAGAATTCCCAGCAGCTAATTAGAAAGTTCACGAAGAAAGATCCCATCAGGGATGTATATCCTAGCGGATTGTACTGATGCATTTGACTGAAGGGGATTGGGGGGATATAAGGAAATGGGGATATAAAGAAAAGGGTGAGAAGAATTAAAAACAAAAAAAAATTAAAAAATCATATGAGGCATTTATATCATGTTTTCAGCACAATATCTGATATGGTTTCCAAGATCTCGAGCAGCAATGCTCATGAATGGGAAGCACTTGTATGTAGAACTGTTGTCAAACCAACTACTTACATAGGCACTTCTGACACCATAACCATTACATCACACTTGGTTGTGGTGCATGTAGTGTACCTTTACCCCCTTAAGGACCAAACTTCTGGAATAAAAGGAATCATGACATGTCACACATGGCATGTGTCCTTAAGGGGTTAATAAATAATAGTAGCTCTGTAGTGCCTATTTTTTTTCCATGTGAATCATTGCATATTTTCCACTGCCACTGTGCAGCAATGATCGGGCCCATGTAGCTGCACAGAATTCATCTTTACTTTAAATTGCAGGTAGAGCAGTAACCTACTCTTTTGTCATACTTGAGCTAGAATTCTAGAAATCAATGCTCCATCCCTGGTAACAATAATTGGTGACCGTGAAGGCACCCTCCTTCTACTTTTCACATGTCACCCTGAATTCTGGGGGGGGGGAAAAAGTGCTTAACCACAGTGTGGATTACTTTGCCCACCACTAATATACAACTCTGGACACTTTCCAACATGCCTCCAAAAATCTGCCAAGGACCACTTTGGCTTTCTTCACTTTGGATTATTCACGAATTTATGTATGCGGTGCTTCCAATGTAAATAAAATTTTGATTTTGTGAATACGTACCACAAGAAAGAAACTTTAGATTATGAAACAATAGTGCAAATTAGACTACACCTTTTTAAAACAGTAACTTAAAAAAAAGGGAACTGTAACTTCTTTAAGAATTATACCACTGAATATAACATTGGGGGTGGGTAATCACCTATTAATTTAACTACAACCATTTTTTATGTAATGCTTCGTTTTATTTTATTTTAAAATGTAAATTAAATATTTAGTAGTTGTCAGAACAATCTAGTATGGCCCTGGCACAGCTAGGGCACAAATCAATGGAGGAAGAGAACATAACATGATTGACACTGTAGCACACACACAAAGATGGAGGTGCTCAGGACTAGTAAAGAGCTAAATAAAGTAAGTTGGATTTCAACAAGCAAAGAAACTCGCAACAAAAATAAACTTAATTTAATCTGCTTCTAAACAGTTCTCTATATGTATTTACTTTATTTAGATCTCTAATTTTTATACAATACGTAAGGAAAAATAGGGACTACTTTTCCAGATGTATAGCCGTCAAGCTGACAAAACTTGACAAAGGAGAAGAACTTTATGCAGGGTCCATGTTTCAGCTGCCAATCAAATTTACCCACAATCCTCTATAAAACCAAATTCTACAGAAGAGCAGATTGCAGACCTCACGGGCCGAGGAGAACAAAATGGCAGCACCCAGGTATTGAGATCCAGCAGTGGGAAGAAAAGATAATGAATATAAATAAAGGCAAGTGAGAAATTATAACTAGTAAGATACAGTGGGCATAAGAAAAGGAAAACTTAAAAAGACCATGGGTTTAAATTAAATAGTATTACATATAACATTGTGCTAGCAGAAATAAAAATAAATAAAAATTATAATTTACTATATTTTGGCCTCTCCTCCAACTGTGAATCAATCCTCCGCATTAGACCTTTGCTGACAGCATACAAGTCTAAGTAGAGTACTGAGTAACAGGAAGAGAAAGAAAACCATCCCCCAGGCAGTTCTCTCTCTCTGTCAATATACTACTCCCCCAGCAAGCATTTCTCATGCTTGCAGGAGCAGTATAGGACTGACACCAACGTGCAGCATGGAAGTCAGTAGAGAGGATTGTCCTGCTAGTGGGAAAGGCCTCAAGCAGGGTCAATTGCAGCACAGGTGACTGCATTAATACAGCTTTCTGGTGTGGTTATTGTGCTTAGGAGTATCCCTTTAAGACTGTTAAGGTGAGGATGTCAAAGCGAAAATCCATTGTAGGTACAATTCTTGTTGTTCAACTCAATCCATTTTGTAAAATTACTAGCTTGCTTCTACCCTAATGTGGTGGCAGCGTGCTGTACGTATTTCGCTGTGTGGTGAGGTCGCAGTAACAGATTACTCAAACTTTTTGTTTAATGGGAAACACCTTCAGCTAGGGAAATCCTGTGTAGAGGATGAAATTAAATGTGGCCTATGCTGAGTCAGGTCTTATAGAACAAGACAGAGGAGGAATGGGCTCAAACAAGGACATAAATGATATTCAAAAACTATTTATTTTTTTTCGGGGGCAGGACATTTGTCAACTTTTGTTCTTATCATTGATGATATCACGGTGTTACAAAATAGCTCTACCCAGGTCTAAAAACAGCCTAAATAAGTTTAATTACAATTATATAGACGTTTAACCCTGTCTGTATTATCTTTGAAATAATTAGGCCAAAAATAGCTAACCTTGTCAACCTAAATCTTGTATGCTCAGTTAGTCTTTGCAAAATTTTAGTTACTATTGCGTTATGAGATTGTCATACTTGTAACAACTAACCGTTTTGAAGTTAGCAAGCATTTAAAGCGCAAACAAACTGGTAACGGAGATTAAAAGTAAGCAGGTAAAGAATGAGAGGGTAAAGAATTTGTAAAAACGCTGTTTCATCGGGCAGAAATTCCAGAGAACTGGGAACCCCTTGCATATTCATTCAATTTGTGTCATAGTAACAGAATAAACTAAGGGAAGATAATTGGCAATGTACTAAACAAATATTTCAAAATGGCCCTGTTAAGCAGATATTCCATACACTGTGCTACTGAAACCTCTTCTTAGTAAACAGTGTAAGCAATACAAGGGTGTTCACTTGTAGTCAACTGAAATTAGAGTTTAAGTTAAGATAGTTCTACCAGAAATATTTTTTCCAACTCAGCTACAGCCACAATGTGGCTATTTTATCTAAATGTTCTCATTTTTTAATTCAGTAATTTTATAGTTTAGTAAATAACTCAGTTGTTTGCCTTGATTTTGCATTAAAATATTCACAACTAAACTACAGACGGCTTACTCACAGAATGTAATTAATACATGCATTGTGGGAGTCCATAGATTCTTCCACATACCTCTGCACTTGCAGACCTGTAGTTTACACATTTGTACTGATTTCCTACAGGCCTAGGTATAAGCTTAAACTTCAACTCTGAATAAAAATAAAAAAATACATATATTTTCTAGCCAGCTGGATAGCTCAATGCATAGATATTTAAATAACAACGTGCAATTATGGTATTTTTACATGACTGGTGTACTTTAACCTAAAGCTGCTCATCTCTCTTACACAATTTTAGGGCAACCAGATGAGCTATTTTTAAGTAGCTATGTCAACTGATGCTCATTTTTAAGTGGTGTTTACACTTTAAAATGTTCTAATATATTCTCTTTGTAGAATTGTAAATGAAGGTCTATGGAGAGAGAGAGAGAAAAAGAGAGAGAGAGAATAAGAGGGTGGCGAGGTGGTTAGTCACAACAATAAAGCATTTGTCATCCAGAATACAAATTTAAAATATCCAACCCCCACAAATGGGGATAATCGGTAATGGGATGTCTAGCCTGTCATTCTCTTAAAAGCTCAGGTTTTTGATGGATGCTAAACTCTTTTTTATTTTTTTTATTAATTGATCACGTATTTCCTTAATAAGATCTTAATTGTATTAAATTATAACAATAAAGTAGCTTGACCTAGCCGTTAATAAAAGATTCCATACAAACACCAACTACTTCCTGCTCAGCATTCTGCAGCCAAGTTCTTGAACAAAAGGACTACAAATCCCATGACACATTGCGAACAGAATAGACAATCCCCATATTCTGCAGTCAAACACCGCGTTCTAACAGAGTGGGAGATAAAAGGTTTGAAAGCAGAGTTTGGACTGATCAATGGAAGCCATGGAGCATTTTTATATGAAATTAGCAGACATAGCATTAGTACATGAGAGGATTTCTGGAAACTTCACGCGTTCCATGCTGCCTGTCTTCTAGTATATGAAGCTGGGTTTCAACTCTGAATTATCATCAGCCCTGCTGGATCTTGATGCTGCGTATGTGTGTGAAACAATAAAGGTATATTTACTAAGATTCGAACAGAGCTTTCTACAAAGACCAATGGTGTGCTTCCATGGACAGAGCAAGCCCTGTCTGCTCTGACACAGAATGGAAGGAGGTCGTGTACACCCACTGTTTACTAAGCTTGGAGTGACTATGCCCCTTTAATTATCATCAGGCACCTATGCAAAACTGATCGACATGTGAAACCAGCCAGGTTTCAAACTTGTATTTTGTGAGTTCTCCCTCAATAAAAAGGAAAGGTAAGCAGTCTGTTTACGTGCAGCACCAGCAGAGCCTGCTTTATAAAGAGTCACTTGATAAATCCAGAGGAAAGCCATGAGCTCCCCACCCTCCGCTTAGATATACCATAATTACACTGCAACAGATCCACGAATACAATGTATACATATAACAAAAATTGCAGGACATTACGATTACATTATAATATAGCAAGCACCATGTAATTACACAAAGAGTGTACACTGTACACTGCCAGGTACCCAGCACAGGCTGCATACACAATCACCATGTTATGTCTCCAGTATTAAACAAATATATGAATGAATTTAAAACCAACTTGAAAGTATCAGACTCCAGGGGTCTGACTCGTGGCAGCTTTACAGACAAAGGAATAACTGCACTGAAGGCGAGATTGGTGTCAACCATACCCATGGCCGAGTACACACAACTGCACCGATTTAACTCCATTTTTCATACAAGCAAAAACACAGCAACTCGTGTCAATAAGCATTGCGAGGAGTTGAATTTATAGCACTGTGACAAGATATGGTGTCAGGCTGTAATTGCATAGCAACAACTGTACCGAGTTTGATATTCCAAATATTAACAGGTGTTAGGATAAACATTCTTGCTGATCATGGAGTCTTATCCTCACACCAGTAAACAGTGCGGTAGATGGAACGAGGGATGATCTGTGTGTGTTGGGTTCCATGATCAGAACACATCACTCATGCAATGCGGATGCGAGTTGGCTACTTTGTTGTTGATACCGACTGCTGGCCTCATGTCTACATTGCAGACAGGAAAATGAAAGCAGCTCTGAGCAACACTGCACAATGGCAGAGGGCTAGATCTCATGACAACACGGACAAATCGCAGACAGCATGGTTAACCTGATCAAACAGTGTGTTACACAACTAACAAATACACAGCGATACATTTTTCTGAACGTGTCTATGAACATTTAAAAAAAAAAAATTTTTTTTATAAAGATAAAATAGGATGGAACTTGCCTCTCAGCCTGCAAAAGGTTAAACCAGAGACAGACAAGTTGGCTAAAGCAATCTATATGTTTACAGATTTGTGGGTGTACTGCAATTACAATAGGGACTTTCTGTATGTGTTACTGTACTGTACTCTTGTCATAGTGCAGAATGGGAAGTACTCACTGTTTTGTCCAAGTCAATCTTGACTTTTTTCTGGGCAATGCTTTTCTGGATCCTCTTGCTGAAGCTGGCATTGCCCGCAGGTCGGCTGCACCTCTCTCCTTCATCCCTCAGACAGCAGAGCTGCCCATTAGTGGGACCCACACCCGTGACGGGTGTCACTGCTGCAGTCGGGGAGGCCAGCTCTGATCCGGTTTCCCGGTGTAAGTCTTCGGTGGAAAATCCGTTCATCATCTTGTCTGGGAGCAGTGTGTGTGATCTTTGCTGTTCGCCCTTTAGATTCTAAGGCAGCAGACCCACTTTTAGTACATGTGCGACGCCTACAATAAATATCAACAAAGTGCTTAGTAGCATATGCTGAGTTGTCTGTGCATGTGTTTAAAGAGCCTGCCTTTCAATGCAATAGATTCATTGCAAGGTTACACTGGCTCCTCCTCTCCTTTCCCAAACACACACCTCTTTCACTTCCATACAAACTCTGCAGCAATATTGAAGAACAAAAACTTGTGTTCGAAGGCTTTCATTAAGGGTGTATGTGAGGGATTTTATTTACTTTTTTTTTTTTTTTACATAAAAGGACAACCATGATCAGGGGCTTTCCTAATTATAAAAACAAGGAAAATAATAATATATATTGCACGAACTCGTAACGCAAACTGCAAAAATAATTGATAAAAATAATTTACAAAGATATATCTTTATTTTGTTAAATAATGAGTTATTTTGCTGTCCCTGCATTAGAGTATGCTGGTACTAAGGCTAATCAGATCTTCTCACAGCACTACACAACGATTGTAAACATACAGCCAAGTTTCAGAGATCTCATTGTGGGATCTTAACACAATGTAAACAACGCCTGATTTTCTTCGAGCAACTGATTTTTCTCTTACAAACACTGGTTGAGTTGCTTTCTTTGTGGGTGTAAGAATATATTGGATACACAATTTGTATGATGCTGCCTAAACAAATAATAAAACATTTAAAAAAAAAAAAAATAGCAGCCATTGTGAATCTGCACAAAGGGAACATGTGGGGCTTTCTCCACTGTAAAACAATGTTGTTCTTATGGAACGTAGTGGGTTTGGCTAATGAAGTAACTCCAGCCTATTGCAAGGCTGAGCAGGAAGTAAAAGTGAGAGAAAGGAGAACAAGTAGCCAGAAGAAATGTAGTTCCTGGTGTTGTATTTCAGGCTCACTGCTTCCAAAATCACTCTGAGAAAGTGCAGACCATGTGAAACTTTTATGGCAGTTCTTTTATTCAAATATATAAAGACACACTATTTTTTGTAAAGAAATACATGGGTAAATAAAATCTACAAGTAATTATGACAAAACATGAAACAGGTTTGGCATATGGGAAGACTATAGTGGTGTTAAAACTTCTGATAGAAGATTGACATTTTTCATTTTGTGCCAGGGCCTGGAACTAGTACAGGTCTATTTTTGTCTATCTGAAATTCCTCTTTGTATTGCCATCTTCACCTCTGTCACTTAATCATCCAACTATAGTGTGTCTCAGCCCCACATCTTGTCTCATACCCCCTCTGTCTTTTATCCCCCCCCCCCTCCCGCCTCTTTTGCTATTCAGTGCTTTATTTGAATGAAATTAACTTTTTTTTAACAACAAAGCGGCAACAACTACGGAGATCACGCGGGCTGCCCTACAAGATGGCACTGAGAACTTGGAGCAAGACCCCATCTCAACTCCACATGATGAGCCAAATAAATCGGAGGGACTCACCCAAAAATATTTTGAGCAAACCATCGAAACCGTGTCTGCAAAACTAATCCAAACTTGGAAAGTGACGGTGGATCAGATATGGAAGGAAGTGAGGGACCTGACTGCCAGGACATCCTCAGTAGAGCAGCACTGCCAAGACCTGGACTCCGCGCAAACAGAAACGGCAAACCAACTACAAGCCCTGCAAGAGCAAGTGGAAAGCAGGGAAACCCGCATGGCAGATTACGAGGACAGACCCCGCCGGAATAACCTGAGGTTACGTGGCATTCCGGAGACTGTGCTCCCTGACGACTTGCCGGTCTTTATTGCAGGTCTACTACACGCCTATGCAGCGGACATCCCGGCGGACATGCTCCTGGTAGACAGGCTACACAGGGTCCCAAAACCTAGACATCTGCCAGACGCAACACCCAGCGATGTGCTCATTAGAGCACATTACTTTCACATCAAGGAACTTATCCTCAAAACGCACCGTAGCAAGCATGAAGATTTCCCTACAGTACGGATTATGGCGGATCTATCTGCAGCCACCCTACGACGCAGGAGAGAATTTCAACTGATCACGAGAGAATTAAGGAAAAAAGGAATCTGCTATAGATGGGGATTCCCCACAAAACTCCTTCTCACGAGAAATGGGGAAACAAAGTCCATTTCTACACTAGAAGAAGGCATGCTGAAACTAGAGAAATGGGGCTTAATCACCAAAATGCCGGCTACAACACACACCACACCAGGAAAAGGTAACTTCTCCCCTGTGGACTGATAGCCTGAATGCACACCTGCCGAAAGTATCTTAACCCTTGTATAGGGATAAATGTTGACAATAGGTCACTGTTCAAATGACCGCAAAATTAGATGTTAAAATAGCATTTTAAACTGCTATAGATATGCATGATATTAATAGCTTCTAATGTACAATGTTTGCTTGTAAATGTACTACACAAGCACCTGCCACAACCCTGCCAGGATACAACAGGCATCCAATTTAACCACAAATAAACTGGTGAACTAAGCCGGGAGAATATGGCACCCCTCCAAATATAACTAGCGCAACACTACCCTTATTTACTAGGTAGAATTCCTACTACACACTGGGCACAGGGAGAACATAGCCAGACTGGGTGAAAACCCCTGGTCATGAAAGAATGACATACCCCCAAAGGGTAAAGGACCAACAGAAATGGGTCATGACAAATAATATACTACACCCGAAACCGGGGTAAATGACCAAGAAATAGTCAGAGGGTAGGGAACACGAAAGAGGGACTAACAGACATCCCGTGGAAATACAATCACACTACAAATGAACCGTGGCCACCCGGTTCGATGAACCAACATCTGGATAAGCAGAGCAGCAATAACCATAATTAATTAAGTCCTGTCGCCGGAAATAGATTCCACCCACTTTGGAAGGAATCTCCGCAGCCTGCTCATTGAGGTCCAATATAGACCCTATAAAGTTCGAGCGTCTTACGCTAGAAACTATACCCACTCATCACACACAGCTCATAAGCCTCCGCACCTGGACAATTTTTCAAAACGAAACCCAGGTTGACACTACCAAATATGCCACCCAAAACTGCGCCCACATGTGGCGATGCATATCTGTACCACCACAGTTTACATGAAACTATCTAATATTGAACTGTATATCATGCCACACACACATCCAAATCCAGGGGAGTCTCCCTCCTCTTCCACAACTCCTTGACAATAGAACCACTTCAAATTAAAAAAGACTGCCAGGGACGATTTATAATCCTACACTGCCTACTTAACAATAACCCTCTCATACTGGTTGGAATATACAGCCCAAACGAAAATCAAAAAAATTTTCTACACAGGGTTCTTAGTAAACTACCCGCCGATACTAATGCCCCTATACTACTTTGCGGGGATTTTAACCACACTATAGACTCCCAACTAGACTCGACAGCCCCCGACACCTCCAGCAGACACCACACACTTAAACTTCACAACAAAGCACTAGTAAAACTGTTGCACACACAGGGCCTGTATGATGTATGGAGGACACTACACCCAACAACAAGGGAGTACACGTTCTACTCCCAGGTCCACAGAACATACTCCAGAATCGACCATATACTGACCTCAGGGATACTCCTCCCACAAATAACAGAATGCACCATAGGCAACATAGTGTGGTCGGACCACGCACCCTTAACTGTGACCATACAAGACCAATACCAGCACCGAGGTAGACCTCCAAGGCGTATGAACGACACGCTACTAAACGACACTGAATACCTGAAACAACTAACCCAAACCCTACAAGCAGTGGCGTACACATGACCCATGGGGCCCCGGTGCAAAAATTGATCCGTGGGCCCCCTCCCCCCCCCCCGTGCGCTTACTCGGCGCGGGTCGGGGCCGCAACACATGGCGGCGGGCACCTGGTCGCAGGGCTGCGACCCCGCGAATGCGGTATACTGCACACACACCTAAAGGACCACTACAGACACCCAGATCAATGAAGTGGTCTGGGTGCCAGGTCCCTCTAGTTTTAAAGGACCACTATAGTGCCAGGAAAACATGCTCGTTTTCCTGGCACTATAGTGCCCTGAGGGTGCCCCCACCCTCAGGGACCCCCTCCCGCCCAGTTCTGGAAGGGGGAAAGGGGTTAAAACTTACCTTTTTCCAGCGCTGGGCGGAGAGCTCTCCTCCTCCAATCCTCCCCGTCGGCTGGCTGCACGCGCGCATTCAGCCGGTCACATAGGAAAGCATTCATAATGCTTTCCTATGGACGCTGGCGTACTCTCACTGTGAAAATCACAGTGAGAAGCACGCAGGCACCTCTAGTGGCTGTCAGTGAGACAGCCACTAGAGGAAATAGGGGAAGGCTTAACCCATTGATAACCCATTCTCTGAAACTGCTATGTTTATGATAAAATGGGTTAACCCTAGCTGGACCTGGCACCCAGACCACTTCATTAAGCTGAGAAACGGCTATGTTTCACGAAGGGTTAATCCAGCCTCTGGTGGCTGTCTCATTGACAGCCGCTAGAGGAGATTCCGCGATTCTTACTGTGAAAATCACAGTGAGAAGACACTGAACGTCCATAGGAAAGCATTGAGTAATGCTTTCCTATGGGCGGTTTAAATGCGCGCGCGCGCGCCTCTTGCCGCGCATGTGCATTCGGAGCTGAGAGGCAGCGGGATCCCCAGCGCCAAGGAAGTCCAGCGCTGGAGAAAGGTAAATGCTGAAGACACACACTCTCACGAACAGACGCATACACACTAGCTAACAGACACACACATTTACTAACAGAGACACACTCAGCGACAGACATACATACACACTCACTTACAAAACATACACTTTCACTGACAAACACACTCACTAACAGACATCAGACACTCAGTAACAGACACACTAACACACACACACTAACACACACACAAACACACACACACACACACACAAACACATACACTAACACATGTTTTTTTTTAAATTTAATCCCCCCAGCCTCCTTACCTTTTGGGGTGCTGGGGGGATTCCCTGGGGTCCAGTGGTGGTGATGCTGGGCGGGCTGTTTGGGTGGCAGGCACGCGAGGGAGCACTTTCCCCTCAGTGCTTCCTCTTCAGCTCCCTCGCGCGCCGCGTAGGGATGCCGGAGCCGGAAGATGACGTCATCTTCCGGCTCCGGTATCAGTGCGGCGCGCGAGGGAGCTGAAGAGGAAGCACTGAGGGGAAAGTGCTCCCTCGCGCGCCGGCCACCCAAACAGCCCGCCCGCTGGGGTCAGCAGGGCCAGCCTCGGGGGGCCCTGAGGTGGCAGCCTCCTGGGCCCCCCAGGAGAAGAGCCCTGTGGCTACATACCAGGTCGCAGGGGCGGCCGGGCCCGGTCGCAGCCGCGACCCCTGCGACCCTGGTGTGTACGCCACTGCCTACAAGAATACTTCAAGCTCAACGACACACCAGAAGTTTCCGCCACGACGATTTGGCAGGCTCACAAATCTGTCATGAGAGGTAAATTAATAAGACGCGCATCATATCTCAAAAAACAATGTGACAAAGAATATATAGACCTCCTAAGGAAACTTAGGGACATAATGAACGCGAACCTCCTGCAACCCTCTGAACCATTGGCCAAAGAAGTCACAGATATCACTGAACGAATCAATAATATCAATCTAAACATAACAGCACATATACTAACTAAACTAAAAATGAATACGTACACTCAAGGCAACAAAGCCGGAAAACATCTAGCAACATTACTGAAACAAAAACAAGCCAACTCCAAAATCCCCTATCTATTCACCCGTACAGGGGACAAAATCCACAACCCTCCAGATATCAACGATGAGATGGCCGACTATTATCACACGCTATACAACTTAAAACAGGACCCTAAACTACACCAACCCACAGAACAGGAAATAGCCGCTTACCTTCAAAAGACCACACTGCCCACGCTATCAGCAGCCCAAAAACAAGCTGTACAAGACCCCATCACAATACAAGAAATACTGGACACCATCCAAGTACTCCCGCCTGGGAAATCACCGGGCCCAGATGGAATGACCAACCTATACTATAAAAAACTTGCACCAATACTAGCTCCGTACCTACAGAAACTATACACCCATACCCTAAACGTGAAAGCCCTGCACAAGAAAATGTTAATGGCGCATGTAGCCACACTCCCCAAACCAGGAAAACCACCAAACAGAAGCCAATACCTAAGACCCATATCTCTGCTGAATACTGATGTCAAGCTCATAGCCAAAATCTTTTCCAACAGACTGGCACCTATAATACCAACACTAATAAAAGAAGACCAAGTGGGGTTTGTAAGTGGCAAACATGGAGCACTTGGCACACAGAAAATCTTAAACTTGCTATATGCTATGAAAGAGAAGAAGGCCCCAAGCATCCTGTTATCCTTGGATGCGGAAAAGGCCTTTGACAGGCTGAATTGATCTTTCCTGTCTGCTGTGCTCCGGAAATTCGAATTTCCACCTCAGCTTCTGGCCCTGGTTGAGGCACTCTACTCTTCCCCAACCGCTAAAGTAATAAATGGGGGATTCATCTCCAAACCGTTCTCAATCTCTAATGGCTCCAGACGGGGATGCCCACTCTCCCCAGTGCTCTACACACTGGCACTGGAACCCCTGACCCAACAAATACGGGAAGACCAGAATATCCACGGAGTCCAAGCCAAATGAAAAGAATATAAACTTTCGCTATTTGCAGATGATATCCTGCTGACGCTGGAACACCCACACATATCCCTTCCAAACTTCCATAAAATTCTCACCCAATATAGTCAATGCTCATATTATAAACTAAACATTGCAAAAATCCTAGCTCTGGGCATTAATGTCCCCGCACAAGCCAAGTAACATCTCAAAGCTAATTTCACCTATGACTGGAGGCAAGACCATATAACGTTTTTAGGGATACATTTTACACCTACGCCAACCAAATTATACAAAGCAAACTACCTCACACTACGAAGTGAAATCCAAAACATAATGAAAAGCTGGAATGGGAAATTTATCTCATGGGCAGGACGAATAGCTTCCATTAAAATGGTGATCTTACCCAAAATTCAGTACCTATTCCGAACACTCCCACTTAAACTGCCGAAAACATATATACAAAACCTACAAACCCTCCTAACTGACTACGTATGGGAATACAAAAAAACACGCGTACCAAAGGACATCATGCACAGGCAATTTAATAACGGCGGAATGGGAATGCCAGATGTAAAAGGATACTACAGAGCGGCCCACATCGCCCCAATGTTAACAATCCCCCAGCACCACGAACAAAGCGCGTGGGTCGAAATAGAAACGAGCTTCACAGAAGGTGTAAACCTATTGACACTAGCATGGACACCAAACAGCCAAAGGCCAAAATACACTCAAATGCTCCCCACAACCGCTTTAACCCTCTCCATATGGGATAGCTACAGAACAAAGATGGGAAAATCGAACCCAATATCACCAGCACTCCCACTGGAGTCAATACAATTTCACATATCGGACTTCAACTACAAAATCTGGCACAGGCACAGCGTACGAACACTATCGCAACTAATGCATGGACCTACACTAAAACGATTCTCAGACCTTAGACAGGAGTTCACACTGCCTACAACAGCCTCCTTCTCCTATATGCAACTACAATCCTGGTTTACTATACACAGCTAAAACACTCATCCACAACGGCACCTGACTCATCCTGGCAGGCAGTGGAACAAATTAGCACAGCGGCTAAACCAGCCAGGAAACTCATCTCCTTGATTTATGGCTCAGAACATAACCGACCCCCCAAATCCCCCCCTCCTTCGTATTGGCATGGGAAAAAGATATAGGCCACCAACTATCTGAAGCCCAATGGCAAGACATCTTTAAGGCACACAAAACACTAACATAGAACTATCCCACAAACTTCTTTACAGATGGTATCTAGTTCCCACACGCCTCAAACATAGCTACCCTAATACATCTGACACATGCTGGAGGTGTCAGAAGAGCCGTGGCACAATGTTACATATATGATGGCGATGCCCAAAACTCCAACAATATTGGCAACAAGTAGCAACCCTAACAGCCAAATGCACTAACTTACACCTGCCCCTGGTGCCCGAAACCTTTCTGCTCCTCCTCATACCACACACGCCAAAAAAACATCAAAGGTACTTAACATACCACATCATCACAGCAGCCCTCCTGGTCATTAGAAGACTATGGAAAAAAACATCCCCCCCAACGATCACACAATGCATCACTGCCGTGGACACGAATCAGAGATACGAACTCATGGCAAGAACCATACAACATACAAACCTGTATAAGATTAAGGCATGGGAGAACTGGGACAAAAACAAACCCACACAAACATAAACCAGGGGACTGGCAACAAATACAGTATACTTAACCCTCCCAGACTGGAGGCTACCATACCCCAATCCTCAAAACGAGCAGGAGACCAGACACACTATGCCCATATACTCCCACCCCACAGGGGAAGACAGAACCCTCCCCCCCCGCCACCTATGTTGTACACCAAACCGCATGAACCACCACAAATGACACACACTTACGAGGGAATCTTACAATATTGTCCTAGATATGGCACCATAAATGTTTGAAAACAATATGCACACTTGATTAAGTAAAACCCCTAATGCAGAATGGAAAACAACGTACCCAAAAAACAACAATGTTGGTGAAAAGCTTGCACACTGTTTACAACCATACGACTATTTGTACAACCTTGATGTTTTAAGATTGGAACCCCCCCCTCTTCTCTTCTGTACCCTCACCCCCCAATCTATGCTTAAAAATAAAAATTGTCAAATTCAAAAAAACAAAACATAAACAAAAACTTGAATTTGTGCTATATGTCCAGCCGTAATTCACCTCTTTCATATTATGTGCACCCACACTTATTATATATCATTTTATTCAGGGAAAACAGGGCCTTCATTTAACATCAAATATTTAGGTATGAAACATAATTTAATATGAAAAAAATATTTAAAAAATTGGAGAAAATAAGAATTGTTAAAAAATGTTTAGTTCTACGTGACATTTTAACTGTGACTGTCATAATACTGTTTGCTTTTACTGCAGTAACATACACATATTTGTATTCAGCGATGTCTCACGTGTAAAACAGTACCCCCTATGCACAGGTTTTATGGTGTTTTGGGAAGTTACAGGGTCAAATATAGCCTTTTACATTTTTCTGTTTATTCACATTGAAGTTTGCCAGATTGGTTACCTTTGAGACCGTATGGTAGCCCAGGAATGAGAATTACCCCCATGATGGCATACCAATTGCAAAAGTAGACAACCCAAGGTATTGCAAATGGTGTATGTCCAGTCTATTTTAGTAGCCACTTGGTCACAAACACTGGCCAAAGTTAGTGTTAATATTTGTGTGTGAAAAATGCAAAAAACTAATTTGAACGCCAATTTTGGCCCACCGTCCTTAAGGGGTTAAATATATTTTTTCCTGTCCTGGTATTTTGGCCTACATTTGACAGGATGCTTGTCAACTTACCAGTACTTTCTATGATTTTAAAGCTATTTATATATAAGCAGAGATGTAACTAAAAAACTACAGGGCCCCATTGCAAAAATTGCCCTAGCCCTTCCCCAGCATACCTTTCCCCTCACCCCCACTATATGGCAGAGTGATGGTAGGTGACTATGGCATGGGTGAGTGACAGGATTGGGGGAGTTATTGTGAGTGTGGCAGGGTGACAGTGTGTGTGTTGGGGGACAGTTATACAGACACAGATGCAGATAACCAGCTCTGACATCACCACAGGGGACCTGGTTTGCACTATTAAAGCGCTGCAGTGCTGACCGGGCACCCGGGAAATACTTTGTCATCGGGTGGCCCTAACATCATGGGCCACCCAATGAGCCCCTTCATTGTGACTCCGCCTGTTGTACTGCACTATATGGCCGGCTGGGCCCTTCGGAGTGACGGGCCTGTTTGCAGCTGCGACCCTTGCGACTGCGGTAGTTCCGCCACTGTATATAAGTGCAGATAGATCAAACACTGTGACCCATGTTTTATGAAAACTTATAAGTTAGTTTCTGAGAGTTTTCTGTGTTCTATTCCTCACATGTTAAAGGACCACTATAGGGTCAGGAACACAAACATGTATTCCTGACCTTATAGTGTTAACACCACCATCTAGCCCCCCTCTGCCCCACATGCCTCTATAAATATAGTAAAAATCTTACTGTATTGAAGCCTGAAGCTGTAAATCTGCATGCTGTTAGACTCAGAAAAACAGGCAGTCTGCTGACATGTGGTAGCCTGATCCAATCACAATGCTTCCCCATAGGATTGGCTGAGACTGACAAAGAGGCAGATCAGGGGCAATGCCAGCATGATTCAAACACAGCCCGGGCCAATCAGCATCTCCTCATAGAGATGAATTGAATCAATGAATCTCTATGAGGAAAGTTGTGTCTCCATGCAGAGGGAGGAGATACTGAATCACAGGATGCTGTGCACTGTGCTGCCCTGTGCTATGCTGACAGCAGATCTGAGTGGATGGAGGCATATTATGCCTCTATCAACTCCGAAGTCCCTCTGGTTCACTCTGAGTGACTGCAACTGAAGATGTTCCTAGCTTTCAATGTAAACACTTTATTTTCTCAGTAAATGCAGTGTTTACATGAGAAAGGCTGCAGGGAGCTATAGTTCTCACCTGAACAACCTCAATAAGCTGAAGTTGTTCAGGTGACTATAGTGTCTCTTTAAGGGATTTAGAGGAGCTCAGTCATGCTTATTATAGGAGATCCTTATAAACTATCCTGGACCAATTTGAGCTTGTGTTCCATTTACTGCTTGAGACATGCACTGTATATGTCAGTGCCTATCAACTGTCGGGCAGCTCAGAGACAGACATGAATAGCAGAACATGCAATAGTTTAAATGTTCTAATGGGTAAAAATATTGCTTGCTTCAATGAAAGAAGCACAGAGAAGTTATTTTAAGCTTATGTTACATGAACACAACGTTAAAAATAAATATATTTATTTTTAACATAAGAGTGTACTCTAAACAATAAAACAATTGCAAGATGTAGTGGTTTAAGTGCAAAGACCCTGTGCAGGGACTCTGACATTGACATTTGTGAGATATAGCAATTTTTACATTTGTCTTTCAGAATACCGTAGTATCTGTCAATCAGACAGCCACAGGAGGCACTTTAAACGTTTTGTTGAAAGTCTTCGCGTACACGGTCAAAGAACCTGTTAATGCTTCTCATAAAGAAATGTTGGTCATAGAGAAGCATCCATTTGGTGGAGCATGTCGAATGACATGCATGCACTGTAAAGTCCCAATGCTTTTCTATGATAAGAATTGGATGGGTATAAGGTCACCAATAATGATGATCTTAGAAGAGGAAGAGCAGCTGTCACATTTATGTATAATGTGTTCCTTTAATGTGTTGAGATTACTTAGCTCCTTTTGATTTAAAAAAAATAAATAAATTCAACGTACCTGTCATTATCTGATGAAGTCCTCAATGATGATGATTTTTTTCATTCTAATGCTCCTCATATAGAAGCCCTGGAAGCGCATGTGTGGTATTTTCTACTTTCCTCAAATCAAAACCTCTTCACAGAGAAGCATTGAATCTAGTGCTTCTTTGTGAGAAATACTGGGTGCATCTAATCCAGCACAGCATGATGATGCTGAATGTGAGACTTTATATTTTTGAGGGTTTGCAATGAGGAATTGCCTCTAGTGTCAGGTGTCTGAAAATGTAAACATTGAATATCCTCAGAAGCAACAATTACATTATCAGAAGCAATGGCAGTATTGGTGCACCAAAACCAGTTCATTAAAATGAAGTGGTTTTAGCGGTTAGCTTAATTTAAATATCCTGAGCTTCGAATTTATCTGTTAACTTTCTTTCAACAGAATGGCTTACGGTTTCTATGTTTAACATGCAGCAACCCAGATGTGCTCAAGGGGTACAGTTTGTTTAGCTAATAAGAAGAATAGGATAAACTGTTAAAAATTGCTTTGTAAAAAAAAACCTACTTTTGTTTCATTGTTATGACATAGTACACAATGCAACTTTAAGATATATCCTAACTTTTTGCCCCATTAATATGCTGTGTTTTTGCATGTTTCAATCTTTATAGTTTTTGCAGAAAAATACAATTTGTCAGATTTACCAAACTTCAGTTCTCCCAACAGTCTCACTTTTTGATGAGACAGTTCTGATTCTGAGGTCCAGCTGTGCAGTCCTGCTTCAGTTCAGTGGTGTCCCGTATGTGGAAAACTGTCCCCGAACAGTACAGCACAATGCATTGAGCGTTACAGCTCCAGAAGGCTGGGGGCTGGTCAGACACCCTGTCCGTGGTGACTCCTTAGAGCACAGCTCATGCCATCCTGATCCTGTACCTGCTATTGTTGGGAGGTATGTAACTTGCGTCCCCATTCTAAAAACTACTTCTTTATCAGTATACATACACCTTTCAGCCACTGACAGCATCTAGTTGTGTTGACATCCAGGTAGACACTTAGAACTCTTCTCCCACTATTGGCCCTTTTTAATAGTTTTGCTCATTTTTACTGACCAGCCACTGTTAGCTAAAATGCCTGTTCCTACTGACTGCAAATTTAGAAAACTAGTGATAGGAACAGCCGTATTAAAATGGTTCCAGTAATACTATCTCTCACACAATGGCAGATGCTACATTTAGCCTCACACCCCGAGACCTAACATCCTCTATATATAGGACTGTATAGGACTTTTAATCTGCACTTACAGGTCATTTGGGTACTTCTGTTGAGGTTCCGTTTGCCCCTAGCTTGCTTCTGACCACAAGAAGGCACCTACTTTGAGCTTACCCGAGCAGCGTGAGCCAGGAAAACCTCAAAAGTGTCTGCGGAGGCGAATTGAGAAGCAACGTTCTGCCCCTCTTTGTTGGGGATCACCATTGCCTTATCCACAATGGGCTCCAGTACAATACTTTTTGAAGACGCCATTACAGCCACCTCTGAGCCATCCCTCGCACCCATCTCAAGCTTGCAACGTCTCAACAATTTGACCTTATAGGCGATAAGTTAACAGGCTTGTCTACATGGTGTCTTATCTCAGCAGGCTTCTTCTCAAGAGACAGTTCCACCATTGTCACTCACCTACTCTCAGCTTATGATATTTTTTTATTATTGGGACTGATGTGTACTATGGTCATTGCTGCTGCCCAGGAGTAGTGGGGTTTGAGCACAGGACTTATTTTTGTGTATTTGTAGTTACCTTTTGTTTCACACAGCCATGTTACACTGCTGCCACCCATCCCATGTGTTCCCTTTTAATGGTTAATAAGTATGTAACGGTAAAAAAATTACCCCTCTCTGTCTCCTTAGAGATTGTCTTAAGCTGAATCAAGCAAGGTGAATTGTTAGTGTAGGACCCACCTTTTGTTTTGGGAGGTTTGTCTTGACGTGACACAGGGCCGTCTTTAACATTGATTGGACACTGGGCAGGCATTTGTTTGGGTCCCCTGGATCCAGCCATCCCTCGCCCTCCCCCCACACTTTCACTCTCTGGCATGCAATCACGCCCTCCACCCCAACACGGTGGCAGAACTAATGTAGACAGGGCCCTGGTGCAAGACATTGTTTTGAGCCTCCCCTCTAGCGCAAGAGCAGAGAAAAGATAAATCCTCATCTGTTGTACAATTCCAACGATGCTATGCCAGCTGGGGATCTACCATTTGTCCATTTTTGCAGGGCTGTATTTGTGAGCCGTGTTTGTGCATTTGAATGTGAGCATGTTGTTGTATACCGTATGTGTGTGCATGTAGGGTGTAGTATTGGTGTTTAAGTGTAGGGATGTGTTTCTATATACTTTTTGAGTTTGAATTCAGGGGTGTGTTTGTATGTAATGTTTGCAGGGGTGTGGTTGCATGTTGTGTTTGATTGCCGTGATGTAATGATATACATTCACAGATATACATACACATTAGCACACTGACACATGCACACACTGACAAAGACTGGCATATACACACACAGCCACATACATAAATACACGTGCACACACAGAGATAAAAACACTGGCACGTGCACACACAGAGATAAAAACACTGGCACATCCACACACAGAGATACACACTTACACACACACTGACACAGATATATACACAAATACATATGTATTTGTGTGCAGTGTTGGCGTAGGAATGCTGGGATGTATGCATTGTCACACAGATGCACTCTCACACAAACAGTGATACACACAGGAACACAGATACACATGCAGTGGTGTATTTGTGTGCATTGTTAATGTTGGAATGCAGGGTTGTATTTGTGTGCAATGTTAGATGGGATGTATGCATTGCCACACACACAGATACACACTTACACATACTGACACTCATACACACACAGGTACATATACACAGACAAGCAGGTATACATACAAACTGACACATAGGTATACATACACACAGATACACATAAACACTGACACAAAGGTACATGTACACTGACACAAACACAGCCATATAAACACACACTGACACAAACAGCCAGATACACACTGACACAGCCAGATACACACACACACACAGTCAGACACAAACATAGCCAGATACACACACACACACACAGTGAGATATACACACACACACAGTCAGATATACACACACACAGTCAGATATACACACACAGTCAGATATACACACACACAGTCAGATACACACACAGTCAGATACACACACACACAGTCAGATATACACACATACAGCCAGATACACATACACACATACAGTCAGATACACATACACACACACACACACAAACACAGTCAGATATACACACACTGACACAAACACACACACACACACAGAGTCATATTAATTCACATAGTTTAGCCACCCTCCTTACCTTTACAGAAGTGTGGCTTCCCTGTGGTCCAGTGGGAGCTGGATGGCTGAGATTGATGGGGTCTTCTTCTTCTTGGTCTGTACCTCTTCCTGCTCTCCATGTATGCTTCCTCCTCCCCAGCGGCACTCTGTTAATTGGGAGGAAGTGACCTCACAACACTTCCTCCCAGCAGGCAGGAAGACAGGGGCTCGGTCAGGAGCTCTCTTAAAGGGCCGGGGCCCCTGATTACATCACCTGCTGCAGCCCACCGGGATATTTCTCAGTATCCCGGTGGGCTGTTCAGACCTGGCTGCGGGCAGGGGGCCCACAGGGCAGCTGCTTTGGGCCCCCCAGGAGCAACTGGGCCCTGGGCAGCTGCCCCGTTTGCTCCTTGTTAAAGACGGCCCCGACGTGACAGGTGGGCTTACATCTAATGGCCATTGGAGTGGAACTAAAAACCTCCATTTATATAAATATGCACAGGGATTTGGAATAGTGCGCAAGTAACTTTTTTCTTTGTTTTTGTTGTATGTATGTATTGTGACAAACTTACTTTCCTGTGTGTGTTTGTCCATGATCCTTTGGCAGCAGCACAGCCCTCTAGGGTAAGAAAACCAGGCCAAGACAAAGTCCAGTTTCAAAAAGGCCTCTGGCCTATTTATTTTCTGTTGTTGTGAAGTAACAGGATACAATGAACAGCAAATCTTTCTCTACAAAACACCTTCTTTCTCCTCCCTTCAGGGGCGTACCTAGAGCATTTGGCACCCGGGGCGGATCCTGTGCTTGGCACCTCCCCCCCCCCCACACCCCCAAAAAAAAAAAACCTGTAAAAATGTTAAAGGTTTTTTTTAATTAATCCATACCCCTTAATTAATCCATACCCCTTAATTAATCCACACTTAATTCATCCACACACCCTTAATTAATCCACCCCCCCTTAATTGATACACACACCCTTAATTAATGCACCCCCCTTAATTAATCCACTCCCCCTTAATTAATCCACACTAATTAATCCACCCCCCATAATTAATCCATACCCCCTTAATTAATACACCCCACTTAATTAATACACCCGCATAATTAATCCACCCCCATAATTAATACACCCCCATAATTAATCCACCCCCCATAATTAATACACCCCCATAATTAATACACTCCGCCTTAATTAATACACTACCCATAATTAATCCACCCCCCATAATTAATCCACCCCCCATAATTAATACACCCCTATAATTAATATACACCACCCCCATAATTAATACTCCCCCATAATTAATACACCCCCATAATTAATACACCCCCATAATTAATCCACTAATTAATCACTCCCCATAATTAATCCAACCCCCTGAATTAATCCACCCCCATAATTAATCCACTCCACCTTAATTAATCCACCCCCCCCATAATTAATCCACCCCTATAATTAATTCACCCCCCATAATTAATTCACCCCCTATAATTAATTCACCCCCTATAATTAATATACACCACCCCCATAATTAATACTCCCCCATAATTAATACTCCCCCATTATTAATATACACCCCCCATAATTAATACACCGTCCCCATAATTAATATACACCCCCTCCTTTCTCTCTCACCCCCCTCCTAATTTCTT